AGCGCTCTACCACTTGAGCCACAGCACCACTTCCAGTTTTCTGGTGGTTTATTGGAGATAAGAGTTGTACAGCTTTTCCTGCCAGGGCTGGCTTTGAACCGTGATCCTCAGATCTCAGCCTCCTGAGTAGCTAGGATGAGAAGCGTGAGCCACCGGTGCCTGGATCATGAGGCTTTCTTGATTTCACAGCAATTGAGAACTCAGCATGGGAAGGTAAGTGCCCTGAATCGCCTCCACCCTGACCCCTAGAGACTTGCTCAGCCAGTGAGAGGACCCAGCAGAGGCCCATGTCCTCTCCCCAGGGCCCTCCCCGGTGCATCCCAGCGCCTACCTAGCCTCAGGCAACCTGCCTCCCTCCCCCCACCCCATTCCACCGGGAACTGGGTCCTGCTGCATCTGGTCCCTGGAAGGTGATTAGCTTAGTCCTCTGCTAATACAGGACAGAGCAGATCTCAGCTCACAAGGCCTTTAGTGGAGGACGTGGCACAAGGCCACCGCCGGGGCACCTGTCACACTCAGCAAGAGGCAGGGATGGCCGACTCCAAACAGGCGTGCACACGTCTGTCTTCAGCAGCAGAGCCGCCTCTCAGCAGACCTGGATCATCATTGACGTCACCATGTTGTCGAAGGCTCTGCAAAGAGAAACCACTGGCTCAGCAGGACCAGCTGGATCCCCCACCCCACCCTCCAGGGGCTTCAAGGAAGAAGACCCCACAGACGCTGGGGTAGGAGCCCACTGCGCTGGGCACACGGACTCCACCTCTGCAGTGTTGTCAGAGTCCCACCATCTTCCCTGGAGGACCTCCCAGGCCAAGGCCAAAGTGCGTGGGCAGTGTTTTCCTCACCCTACGCAGTTCAAGGACACCTGCCTGCTCTCCCCTAGAACAGAGCATTGACCCAAGACACCAGTGCCCAGCCAAGGAAAGGCATGCAGGAAGGAGTCCCTTAGGAATTCCTGGATAGACACACACATAGAACCCACACTTGCCATGAATTACAGGCGTGACTGTTCACATATCAAGTCTACCTGGGGGCTGTTTGAAAGACACCTGCAGTCAAGCATCTGCTCACTACAGAAGGCAGGACAATGACTTCTGTGCCTAAAGGCTGCTGCTCCCAGCTTGGACCCAGTATGTCCCCAGGCATACACAGACCCCCGCCCCACTACACCCCTCATCTGCTGGGTAGATGGCCGTCTGCATCAGCAATGATTTGGTAAAAGGCCTTGCCACTTTGAAGCTGGGGGGCTGGGGACTGTCCACCGCAGAAGGCCGCAGCAAGGTAAGGAGAGTAGGCCCACCTGGACTGGATGCGGTCACCAGGGTTGTAGAAGGGGTTGCACATCACATCTGTGTAGGAATTGTGCAGCTTACGGAACATCTGGAACAACACCCAACAACAGCTAAAATGAACTTGCAAAAAGACCAGTACCAGAATTCTGGCTCCTCAGCATCTAAACACAAAGAAAGGGAAATGGAACCCAGCCACCCATCCAGGCGTGGCCCCCAATCCCCAGAACGTACGCTACGAATTTCATTGTCCCGAAGGGCTGTGTTGGAGGAATCCACCACCATGACAAACTTCACCTTGGAGTTGGTCACATACCCGTATCTGCATAGCCGGTTAAGGAGTTTGCTTTGACACAAGGACTCGGTTACAACAAATGACACACATCCTGGTCGAGAGCCTGGGAACCTGGGATCTCTGTGTGCCTCATTCTGGAGAAGCCTGACGCCTACCAATCCCAGCAAAGGCCCAGGCCAGGACATTCCTTGGGCACTGATTAGTGTTTGCTGCAGGAGCAGAGGAAGCTAAGGCCCAAAATTCACAGGCCCTAAGTGAATGCTGGGCCCTGGCTCACACAGTCAAGTCTTCACAAGTAAGATGAACCTCCTCTGGAGGCCATGTCAGTTGCTCCTGGGTCACTATCAGCATGGACAGCTATATTATTCCCTACAAGAATGTCCTTGAACTCCGTGATCTTGAGCACTTTTTCCAAAGGATTTGCCACCCATTTTGAGTACCTAACAATGATATAGCAAATAAATACATTTATGTATATAAATATTTATAGTGAAGTAACAATCATTTATAGTGAAGTAAGCGAAACAATCACCCTTGCCCAAAGGTGATGGCTCTGAAACACGAGGAGACATCTTGCAGGTACAAACTTAGGAGGCCTGGGTCCTCCAGCTTCTTTTTTTTTCCCAAACTAGTCTTCCAAACGGTTAGAGGTGTCAGGTACCAGTGGCTTACATCTGTAATCCTAGCTACTCAGGAGGCCAAGATCTAAGGATCGTGGTTCAAAGCCAGCCCAGGCAGGAAAGTCCGTGAGACTCTGATCTCCAATTAACCACTAGAAAACTGGAAGTGGTACTGTGGCTCAAGTGGTAGAGC